TTTACCCAATGACGAGGGGCGAGAGCTCCGGGAGCTCTGTAAACAGGGGGGCAGTGGCAGTAAGAGGTGGTCTCTGTGTTGGTCTCTGCCCCTGCTTTCACCCTCCAGCCTGCCTAGCGAGGATGGTGCCCCCCCAGCCTGCCTCCGTAAGACGGCTCGAGACCCTGGGGCGGCTCACGGTGCTGCCTTCCCTGCGGCCCGAGGATGTTGGGGTAAGTCCACCGTTTTCCCCACCTCAGCTCAGGTGGCTTTTCCCCTGCCCCAAGCTCTGCTAATGCCACTGTGGAGGTGGCTGATAGACTGTGATGGCGTAGGGCCCCTGGCAGGTTGTGGGAGGGCTCTGAGGCTGGAAAAATGGGGGTGTTGCCGTTGGAGAAGTTGCTTTTAAGTCTTTCTGTCATGTGTTGCAGGCAGAACCCTGAAGCTTTAGGCTTTGATTTTGCAAACGGGTAGGAAAGCCCTTCCCTGGGCAGGCAGCCAGGCTGCTGTGAGGGCCGGCGGGACCCATCCTGCGGCGCTGGGCTGCCTCTGCCTCCCCCGGCCCAGCCAAGCCGCACCGCCTGCTCTCAGTGATTCGTCCGGGGTCAGGGTTTGACTTCAGCAGCGCCAGCCCAGGGTACACATCGCTCTGGAGCTGGCCTCAGCCTCCGCTGAAGCCTCTGGTCTCCGGCAGACAACAGCCGATGGCTTCAAGGATTAGAACGCCCCTGGGCATGTGTCACCGCTGGGCTGGCGCTTGCTTAGTCACACCAAGTGTTGCTTTTCCAAGGAAGAGAGAGGAGCCGGGAAGGGGCGAGGACTGGGATAGCGGAGCCTGCTGCGGAGAAGGCTGGTGGGGGAGAAGGGCGAGGAGGCAGGCAGGGAATGAGTCAGCCTAAAGGATGATTAGCTACAGATTTGGAGAAGGACAAAGAGATAGAAATGGTCTTAAGACTGGAATAAGTGGCGGTGAGCTACTCGCAGTGTAGGCCAGAGTGAGAAAAGACTAGCCTTGAGGCAGATAAAAGCTCTGTTGTGTGCACAGCCTTATCTTGGGCCGCGCTTCAGTGTCACATTCTTGGAATTGCTGCAGCGCTTGTCTGGCTGGGACCACGGCCGCAGACCACAGCACCTGAGGTGCTCATCCACATAACCTTTCATCTCCTCTTGGCACTGCAGGCAGGGAGGAAACCCGTTCCACAAACACCCGCTGGCAGCAGCACTGTCCTTGAGCAGCTCTGTGCAGCGCAGCGTGCAAACCCTCCAGCGACAGCGCGGCTCTGCCCAGCGCGCCCGGTGCCGCACGCAGCCAGCGGCGACTGCTTCACCAGCTGCGCAGAACAGGCGAGGGAGGCGTTACAGCGGGACACAGGTGGTGAGTGGAATAACCTCCTTTGCTGTTTTCCCTGAGGTGAAGTGCTTCTTTAGAGCTGCGTGACTCTCTTTCTCTTAATTTGGAAGTTCTTAGTCCTCCAGTTCCCTGGTCTGCGTACCAGGGTGGGAGCATCACCTGCGGCTTTGCAAGCGACGCCAGCCCTGCTTTCAGGCTGTCACCCGCAGATCTGCCTTCCTCAGGAGCTAACAGAAGTGAGACCATGAAACAACAGACACAAATGGTGTTAAAACAGAGAGTGGTGTATTTCTACTAGACTACTTGACACAGAGGATGGCTGTAGGACTGATGGTCAGTCTCAACAGCAAATACAAATATATTTATTCAGACAACACATCATTTTGTGGTACTACTGTGCAAAACCTGAAGTGTTAATGCACAGGCAGTCCCAGCCCTATTTTCCCAACCCCTTTGGGTATTTAACAATCGGAAGACACCAGCCCGTTTAAAAACCAGAACCTGCAAGAAGGCCCAGTGGTGACCGTTTGCACCAACGCAACGTGAGTTCACCAAAGGGGTCTCATTTTGCAGCGAATCCATGTTCCAACTGAGAAAGGCACAGGAGTGCCCCTTCAACCCCTCTGAAGAGAAACTGGCAGGACTGCTATTTTTGATTTTACAGGGAAAAAAAATAACATAGAGCACACATTTTAGAGAGCAACAAAGAGATTAATTCCCAAATCCCCTTTAAGTATGACAAGAAACTGGCCACAACTGAGACAAAACAGAAAGGTTTTTTTCTCTCACTTTGGTGCAAGTTTATTTATTTTGTACACAATCCATCCGTACACCTGTGATACAAATTCTATGAACCTGCCACAAAGCATTAAAGCACAACATACCTATTATTCTGTAGACATTTGCATTTTTAATCACCATCCAGCCTACACGGATCAGCAGTGATTCAACACGGGAACCTGCAGTTCTGCAAAAATGCAGATGTCTGATAACCGTACATACATGGGGGGGGGGAAGAGCAAAAATGTTCACTTTTAGGGAACATGGCTCAAATCTTCAGATTAAAAAAAAAATAATTACATCCCTGAAAGAGCTGGCTGTGCGGGGCTTTCTGTAAAGGATCTTGTAAACTCATTTTATAGTAAAATCTAAGCCTGCAGGCTTTTTGCTTTGTGGAGGTCAGTAATAAGGATACATGAGGACTCACTGTCTTTTGCATTTCTCCCATCTTGCAGCATAGTGCCTGGAGCTGTTGGCAGATTTGACAAACTTACTGGAGTACCTGGAGTGCTGTATACAGGTGAAGGGAATGCTCTGCACCCTCAGCTGTATTTATAATAGGGCTTTTCCAGCTAGGAAGTTTTCCAACCAGTACAATCAGTGATTGAAAACAGCTATACTTCTGAACCACGAATGTGGCTTAATTAAAACGACCTATCAGTAAATGCAGTCACAATAGGAAGTTTACGCGGCAGGAAACACAAAACACAAAGACAATGCTATCTGTTCCACAGTTCTCTCTGAGGCTAGAAAACCTGTTAACTCTGAAAGCCCTAGAAAAATGCTGCACTGGTTTAGAAACCATCTACTTGGCATAGGACCACATTTGTTTTTTGCACACAAACATTTCATAAATCTCCTTATTTCTGCATTAAGCATTCTGCATTTCTTTTCCAATCTTGTAGCTGAGGATTTTGTTCCAGTCGATCTTGGTGCGGGTGACGGGCAGCTGCCGGCGTAAGGCTTTGAAAGTGGTGTCTGACATAGTCTGGTAGTTTTCACTGATTGCCGTCTGCAATGGCAATAAGTTCAGTTACGGCATCATAAGACACTCTGAGAAAGCATGACTCGGGGTTAAAGCACAAAACCCTTTCTACGAGGCGAATGCACACTATTAACTACATTAATAATGCGGTCACCAGTGTGTGTGCAAGTAAAAGGGTTTCTATTCAAATTCCCTGTGAATGTAGCAGTGTCTCCTGAAGTGTGTCACTGACTTATCTGTGTCGAGTCTCCTTGCACACAGGCTGGGACAACGTAAAAAGCTGTCACACACACTTCCTCTCCAGTGTTTTTAACTGTCACAGAGGAAAACATTTAGACTCACCCACTCCCCTTCCATGCTTGTTCCAGGCATCATTTGTAACCCTTTAAAATAACTATACAGCAAACTTGATTATTAATTACACATAGCTTTACAACTACAGTCGTTAAGCAAACACTACTACCCTTTTCTAAGTAATTCTTACAGTCAATGTGAGACTCAGCCAGAAACAGAATTAGAGGTCAATTTTCCGTGTTTCCATTAACTGTAAATGGAGACTGATATGATACCATCCTATTTAACAACCACTGATCTTACCTGATACTCGTTTTCTGCATTTTCTATTATCTTAATAAATTCCTTAGCTGTCTGGACATCACTCTAAAAAGGGGAAAAAGAAATTTTTATAAGTTTAAGAGCAACTTACAAAAGCTACACGATAGATTTCTTCCCAAATGATAGGCTGAGTACAGATGAAGTGGATAATATCAGCAGCTTCCGCCACATGTTTGCAGCTGGGTTCCTTTCACTCACTACGGATGTCTTAGTGAGGGTCAAGACAGAGGCATGTCCTGGCTAGAGCTTCTGCTCCAAACCGAAACAGGACTGCACCCTAGTGAGCAAAAGGGAGGTAGCCCTTCATGGTATGGATTAGGGATTTTGTGACTGTTGCTCCCTCTACTGTACTACAGGACTTCTTATTTTCCCTTAATACACCACTCTTACTGTTTGTTTTCCCTTGCACATAGGTAGAAAAGCATATTCTGCCCTCTTAAACCGAAACTCGTAAGATAAGCTTTGCAACAGAGACTGTACTTTCTAATACAGTCTCACTTTAAGCAATTGAGAATCTGGGTTTCCCACGTGACGCTAAACACTACAACTACACTGATGAGTCACCCTAAGATCACATTACTTCAAAGTCAAGAGAATGTAGTCA